GATAAATTTGTCATTTTAGTATTAAACCACTGGACAGGAAATCGCCACATTTAGACATTTCGGAAAAATGTAGTCACATGTCAGGAATTACACCTATTGCTGTGTTTCGTTTCCATATATTTCACACTGTCTGTTTGTAATTACCTCCACTGAAGCCAATATAGTATAAACGGTAAATATTTTTTCATCTCAACTTTTTACACAGACTTTACGATGAGCCAAATTCAAATTTTGCACTACTGGGCATGTTACTGCATATATATGCAATGCATTATGGGAAGACAGCATCCTATCATGTATATTTGAAAACTATTATCACTTGGAAATTTACTAAACTGAATATTTGTTTTTCACAAATGTTTTAACAATGGGATTGTTATTAATAATAAAATATGAAATTTTCATTCCATGTTACTGAGCGAAATTTTGAGATATGAAAGAAATTATTTCCCCATGGAGACCAGTGCAAAAATGCAAAACTTTTCCATGGCATGTCTGACTCAAATAATTATCAGGTGACGCTAATTTTGTTCTCATTTTTGGTATTATGATAGCATGAATCCATTCAGCCCAAAGTTTCTTAAAGCAGGGGAGTTGTCACCTGCACATGCATCAGATGGCCATAGCGTGACATTGTTTACAAACAAGCGTCTACCCATGAGCCTTTGCGTTTTTAGCGTGTGTTGTTATCGTCGCTTGGGACTCAATTCCCTCACGTGCGCAGGTGACGGCTCTCTCGCTTTAAAGTTAATGAAATTAAACTGCATGCATTCACACAGTTTACACTTTGTCGCAAAAGTAAAATAATCCACAGTGTCAAGTATTAAAAACCCAAACCAAATGTGATAAAAAAAAACATGCTCAGACATACCTGTGTTTCTTCGACACTCAGAGGAACATCATCGCCAACAACAGCAAATCCGTAAACAACTAAGTTTTCTAAAACTTGCTTTAAAGACTCGTCATGCTGCATGTAAGATTTGTAATCAACAACTGTAGGCATGGAATCCTGGATTGATCCTGCATCCCATAATATTCGTTTCTTGCTCCATTCTGATTGACTGACACCAGAGTAGGAATTCTTTTCCAACCATTCCATACTGTACACGGTTTCATGTTTATCTGGCCCTATATATTTATGAAACGAATATTCCATATTTATTTTCATCTTTTGATAATTTACATTACTAATAAGACCTTGGACAAAAATGGTAGAAGAGGTCTCTTAGAGAGCAACAAGAGCAAAAACATCACATATAATGCTGCCAAGCTCACAAGTTCACAAGAATGGAATTAGCATTGTCAGGGTACATGCTCAACAACGAATTTCACCAGCACTATGTCAATGTTATGCATCAATTGAATATCGTATTCCTGCCGAAGACTAAGTACTGATGAGAAATAAACCTGGGGGAAATATTAAATCAAGCGAAGTTACCACTTCTAGGCCTTGGACACCAATTCATGACGGATTCTTAGTACACATGTGTACTCTATATATTCCACGACGAAGGATCCCAACAAAATTCTGTCTCCCAGTTTACCCCATGATCAGGAACAAAATTGCACTAAATACGATGTAGTAGCATCCGCATTTGAGGCTCCGCTATATAAATATCACTGAGCACACGTAACAAGATACGAAATCCCAAATGAAAAATCATGATGTTGGTTGCGAGAAATCGGCTGAAGAACATCATTTGGGATTTCAAAACTTAACATGAATTGTTATGGCATTCATACGCACAACACCTCACCATGTTTCAACTTTTAAATTGTCAGTTAAGAAGGTCTTTCATAGTAGCACTTCTATGGGATTGACATACTAGAATGAATATTGATGATGTCATTGGCTGGCCCTCTGGAGGCAAAATGGCACCAGGGGTGTTTGTCATCTACTATACAGCCTGTTTTATACCCGATATTTAGGGCATTTCGCAGCACATACAAGTTGTTTTTATCACCAGAATTCATTCATAGATCTCAAATTTCATGTATGGAGTGACAAAATCCAGACCTCTACTTCCCTTTAACATTTTGTGTACGCATACCCTATTTATTCACCGTGAGGGCAATCTCAAGAACGAAATTTCTGCCTCAAGAACACCAATGAAAATTTTTCAAGCAATCAATTGTCGTAAAAAATTAACAAAAATTTGTTTCTAATTATTTCAGATAACAAACTTCTCTATGCAGTTTGACAGTTAACTTCAGGTTCTGTGTGTTATACCTACACACTATGTGGAGCTCACGGTTATCCCCATTCTTTTTAATCTTCATATTTTTGGGTTGAATATTCATATCGATAGTTGTGATGTCAAACAATCTCTGCTTGTCACATCATTGTAACACTTAGCACACCTGTGAATGAGTAAAATTACCACATAAATAAATAAATAAATAAATAAATAAATAAAAGAAGCAAGTTATGGTCAAGAGAAGTCAACAAATACTGTAATTTTGGTGAATTTGTTGGTGAATTTTTTGGTGAATGTTTGCTCAACAGAGCAAATACAGTATTGTAAAATTTTAGATCTAACATGGCACTATTAGCATATCATTAGCATATTATTAGCATAATGTACGTAAACCTTTGTGCCTAAACACTACACAGCAAAATCATCAACCAGAAATATTCATTTTTACATTGACTAATTTAAGAATAAATATGTCTGCAAATCAAAAACAATAATCTCATATGTGCTGTTTATAATTAGAGATGAGAACAAAATATCAAATAAATATGAAATTAATTTTCGTTGTAGGAATGATTCAGTGAAAATAAAATTCAGCGAATATTCACTATATTTTACATTCAACTCGCCAAAACTGAGTAAACATATATTCCATGCGAAACACCCAAAAAATCTATTCAGCGAAAATTAATTTCAGCTAAAATAAAGTATTTTACAGTAATTGTAGTCCTTCGCATATACCGGTATATTGCTTTGCTTGTGCAATGATGTTCATTTCCATCGATATATAATGTCTATGCGCTATTGTTTTTTTTGTTTTGTTTTTGTTAAACAAATTCTTTCATGCATGTATTTTTATTCTACATAATCCTATCAAACCAAAGCGTTACTGAAGAGGAACAAACTGTTAAAGTTGATGGTAGGGAGAGAAATAATACATTTCAAATTATAGTCATGTATTAGCTGTATTAAATATATGTACCAGGTAAATTTAATTGTTTGTGACAATTGTGAGCTACCTTACTACATCATGCAACAACGTTATTTCGTATCATTATTTTATACCGGTAGTCATCATAGCCTAAAAGTCTCCAAAAAGTTAAATAATTTAAAAAAAATAGTTATCATACATGGATCATTTCTGAAGATCATCACTCAAAACTATAAACTCCCATGTAAAGCATAATGCATTTTCTTTGATGTATGGTTGAAATCTGCCTGTTCAAAACAAGCATGTAACCATATGGGAATGTATTACCGGTATATGGAAATGAGCTTACTCTCACTGAGACCACTCTTATGGCTGTACTCAACTTGGTTCATTGAATACATATAAATATCATAAGATATTCATAAAAAAAATTAATTTAATTTACAAAAAAAAAAAATAGCTACAGTAACTTGAGTAAATCACCATGTGTGATTTTCGTGCCAAGTTTGATTGAAATTTGCCCCTAAATTCATTGCTTAGAAAAAAATGTACAGTACAATTGCACACTCACACAGGACATATTCTCTAGTAACCATAATATTATCTCACCGACAATGATCTCTCATCCAGACATAATTCAGTTGAATATTTTTTCCTGCATTGTGTATTTCAAGATGTGTATCATACAATGATACCCCCTGAGACGCATCACTCTGCAACCATCGATTAGATACCAAATTGTGCGCAACTGGACTATGCCGTAAAACAGAAGCAGTTGCTACGGGAACATATGTAGGTGAAAATGAGGAATAACAAACTTTAGCAGAATATATCTTTGTGATTGGCTTGTAGTGAGGAGATAAACCAGTAAACATCAATTGTTGTCCTGCACGCAATTGTCGATTGGCTCTCAACATGGTGACTAGAGAGAAATGAAACGATCAAATTAGATAAGCAATTAAATAATCAGGAGACGTCAACCAAACAAATGACCTCTTTTTTCTCAAAATAGAAGCACAGATTTTTTTTAATTCGAAATCAAAAATGTAGAACAATTCAAAAACTTCAATTCAACAAAAAATAAAAATTTTCTTCATAATATGATTAGTTTGCTTTTCATATTTTTTTTGATAAATTTTCAATAAAAAATAATCTTTACCTGTAACAAAATGTCTCATGTTTTTGAAAATAAATTTTTCGTTAAATCAGTCTATATTTATTTATGATCTGAGAACATTCCTGTAAACCATTTTAGTTGTTGCGATAGGGTAATTTAATGTTGAGCTACGACCAATAAAAGTTCAATATTCACAACAGCATTTTAGTCAACTATAATGAGTCTAAAGCTATAGCTCAGAGCACTTACATGATAGCACTGTGTATTACAAAATTTTTGTTTGCATACCGGATAGACCCAAATGCGTTTATGCACGAGAGGAAACAGTGGTTAGCACAGGCTAGGGAATGCCTAAATTTGTTATACAAATCTTCAGTCATTTTAATTATGATTACTCAGTACAGTAACTAGAAAGCAAATAGAGAAAGTATAGATTGCAGAATAACAGTACTAACAGTTGATACATAGCTGGGTAGGGAGGTGCCCCCGAGTGCTCAAAAGTGTGACCATTTTTATACCTGGATAGTGCCAAAATCTATGCCCATATTAATACGAAAGTACTATTTATGTCATCACTGTTTATTTCAAATAAAACAATTAATGTATTTGCTCTATTAGAAGAGCATCTCCAATAGAAGCACCTCTGTCACTTACATAAGAGCATATTATTAACACAATGTTTCCGGGTTGATGTATATATGTCATCCCAGTTGTCCGAAGGTTCACGAGACCAAATGTCCGCGAGGCCGAAATTGCCAAAAAAAAATCTAAAGCTAGGAAATATGTCAATACATTTCTTGACAAAATTACTAGAATGTGAGTTATGTGCAGAAATGTGTGTTCATATGGAATGAATATGCAGACTATGTACATATGGCATCTGAATTAAGCTAATAACAATAAACAGAAAATCGTTTTTGAACAAAAATATCTCCTAGAAAATAAATTTCCTCTGTATTTGGAACAATGTGCAGTAATTAATAAGCCAGGTTTCAACCAAAAATTAATCAGGCCTGCACAATATCCCAGGGCATCTATGTACCAAGTTTCCTTAAAATATGATAATTGGTTCTTGAGATATCAGTGGAACAGACACACGCATATACACCGTTGTTGTAACGACACACGTTGGATTAATGTTTAATATAGTTAAATTAATGTTTAATATAGTTAAATTAACGTTTAATATAGTTAAATTAACGTTTAATATAGTTAAATTAACGTTTAATATATCCGGTAGTTGTGTTAAGTTTAGATTAAAACATAACTCTAAATAAAAGTTGACTTTCCTGTGACTATAGAAATGTTTGTGAAGGGGTAGATATGGTACAATTATATTAATATTAATATTAAAGCAAAGGGAATTGAGTCCCACGCAAAAAACACAAAGGCTCATAGGTAGACGTAAAACAGCGACACGCTATGGCCATCTGCGTAGGTGATGACTTCCTCACTTTAATATAAATTGTACCATACCTTCCTCCCTTTACTAACTCTAAGCTATGCAAACTTGGCTTAAATTTGATTAAATATTAATACGAATAATGAAAAATAGTGAGGTCTGTCATCACTTAGGTGTAAAGTTAAATGAAAGTAGTCATAATGTTGACACCACAAATGCATGCATGCATACACACACAGACACAACTAAAATACAAAGGTAATGAAAACTCATTTTGATTAAGATTTTGCAAATTAGATCATTAATATGCACAGATTAATTTCAAACTATTATCGGACATGTTACTATACTATAAATGGCATCTATTTCCTAATTAAATTTCAGTTCATATGAGCAAACTTGTTACACAATGAACTTGCTGAATCTGGTAAATTACTATGCAAATGACTTAATTAGTATGCATGACAATGTACCAAAAATTAGTTTATTTATATCAATCAAACAAGTGGTTTTTAAGATACTGGTGGAACAAGAATCTGACACACACACAAAACTAAAAAAATCCAAAAAAGCTTACAAAGGACTCCTGTGTGCTGAAGGTATTGGAAGCATGAAGTACAAATAAGGAACACTGTATTTACTAAAATAGAAGTACATCTCTAATACATACAAAGCATTTATTGCAAGCAAAATCATTGAAATATGTCTTATTTTCATCACAGACTTGCCTTTGTCATTTACATTTAACTCTCTGAGACCTATGAATTTTAGTGCAACATTTTGACTGTTATGTATTATTCTATATTAGTTTTTGGGGATAATTTGGTCCATTTGGACATAATTTCCTATTGGTTACAAGTTTTGATCAAAATTTTAGAAAAATTTGTTGTGGGTTCAAAATTTATGAATAGGGACAAAAGTTTACCTTGGAGCTCAAATAGTTAATGATATGCAAATTACCTAATTAATATGCACAGACGGTATATAGAACTATTTTGTGAATAATGACAAAAGTTGACTTCAGAGCTCAAATGGTTAATGATATGCAAATAACCTAATTTATATGCACATACGATATAAAGAACTATTTTGTGAATGATCACAAAGGTTGACTTTGGTGTTCAAAGGGTTAATAATATGCAAATTACCTAATTAATATGCACATATGGTATGTAGAACTATTTTGTGAATGGTGACAAAAGTTGACTTTTGAGCTCAAATGGTTTAATGATATGCAATTTATCTAATTAATATGCAGACAAGTTGCATATCTATAACAGTATTTAAGATATTACAGTAATACATATTATTGAGGTCACATGATCATATATAGTCATCTGACATTAGGCTTATTTCTTGTTAATGCCTTCACCATAGCACTGGTTGCATGTTTTTTTCTGCAGCAGTGCATATTATATTACAGTTATACGATTTAATCAGGTCCCATGACCATATATGGTCATCTGATAAGTTAGTTATATCTTTCGTCCAATGCCATATATTATTATAAAAAAATATTATGCAAATTAGGTTATTAATATGCATGGATTTCAACTAAAAACTAAAAAAACTATGCATTTTTCCAGGGCATCTATGTATAAAATGTTATTGAAATGCAATGATTAGCTTTCGAGATAATGGTGGATAGCTGAAAATTACTATTATGCAAATTAGGTATTTAAATAGTATGCACTAATTGAATCCGAACACTAGTCACTTCTGTGCATTATGTCCTTGGGCATATATGTAACAAGTTTCATTGAAATGCAATGATTAATTTTTGAGTTATCAGTAGAAAAGCTAATTATTATGCAAATTAGCTAATTAATATTCATAACTAAAAACTAATCAGGTCTAATCATTGTCCCAGGCATATATGTACCAAGTTTCATTAAAATCCATAAAGTAGTTCTTGAGATAACCGTGGAAAATACATTGTGTATGCTTCGCACATCAGAGTCAAAAACGCAACAAACATGTCAACTTGATCAAGGACAATGCTTATATGGGCTTTACTGTATACTGTATACACTAATTTCCACATGCAGTAGCATGCACATGTAAACCCCAATCAATGTTCAATACGGTAGAAATCTTCGAAATTTATTAGGTGACTCTATTATATTATATTATTGAATGACATATTTGTAAAAATTAGGAAATTGTGTTTGAACTGCATACCCGTAATTATCTTTGCCATGGTCCCAGTTCAAGGTCCCGGCCAAGCTCGACAGTCTTAGGTCACACAAATTGTCCTGGCCACTGTCGTGGTCCGTTTTATCCTAGTAACAAGCATGTAAACCTACCGTTCAATGTTCGAACAAATGTTTCTTCTTGTCACATCTCACTACAAAAATCACTTGTTAACACCCGATTGTACTTCCACGGATCGAAGTTTATATTCCGATTATTCGTTCGGGAACAGTGCCCACGCACTCACGACCGATGAGGGCGCTACATACAGAACCAGGAGAGCGTGA